ATATCACATAGACAGACATCCTCTGTTTTGTATCTATAGATTACTTCTAGTGGTTTTTGAAAGTAACTTTTAAACTTTTATCAACACTTGAATATCAAATATTTCTTGACTGCCAAAATGAACTGTTTCATGCTTCATCAGAAATGATTTTTTTTTTTTTTAAATCAATAATTTTTTGTTTCTTTATTAGATCAATGATGGCCGAATTGTTTTCCATGATTTTGAATTGAAGAAACAGTTGAACCTGACAACAACAGATTTGAGGTTTGCAGATTTCCTTGTGAAAATAGTTACGGACGGCAAAAGTCTCTTTCTCGATGGAACAGGTATCTATCGGTTCAATAGTATGAATTGTTTACTTTATTAATTTTTGTCTAGTCTTTTTACTGCTTTTTTGCCACGGCTTTCTCAGTTGAATCCCCTCCACCCAATGAAATAAGTGTCGTGAAGTTGGAATCAAGAAATAGCACCCAAATATATTTTAACTTGCATTTCATATTTGTGAAAGCTCAGAATTGTTGAACAACATGTTCTCTTCTCCAAATCTTCATGATTTATTGTGTGTTTGTACTTTGTTTTAAATTTGTTGAATACTGAAGTGAAATTTTTAATTATTAATCTTTGGTTAGTTTTATTTGATAGCACTTTTTTATAAGAATTATTTAGGCCAAATTAAATTTTCAAAACTTTTTTAAAAAATTTTACAAACTTTTTCTGAAATCAAGGAATGAACATCAACCATGAAAATATAGTAGTGAGAGGCTAGCAACAAAAAAAGTGAGTGAAGGTTAGAAAACAATTCATCACCCTCAAGGTGCTTGGGAATACCAGCTGATGTGATGGATAATGGCTTGGAATTAGAAAGCAGAGTTCCAATTCCAGTTGGGTTCGTTATATTCACTTACACACAAATATCTTTGGGAAAGCTAGGAATCCACCGCTTTTCCCCCTAACTTTGAGTTAATTAGTAGGACTTATATCAGTAAATTGTGAGGAGGAGTTAAGGAAAGGACAATAAAAGAACAGGGTTCAGGAAGTCGGAAAACGAGGATTGATGTTGCATTTGAATTTTTTAAAGTTATAGGTGACGGGGAAGTGGTGTTCCACTAGTGAGATGTATAAGAAAAGAAGCTGTTAGAATAGAACTGACAGTTGCATCTGGTTAGTTCAATAGTAGTAGCGAAACCTAGTTGCCAATATTGTAGCATGCTTAAATACAGGTAGTTGAGATACTAGAGGGTAAAAAAAAGCTCATCAGTACAGTTGCTATAAAAAATATTTGCAGACAAGACAGAGGGAAGCCATGTTAATTGGTGAGAAAGTGACTGAAGTTGAGATGCCAGGTCAGGATCGATTACATTTCAGACCTAGGATTTGATCAAGAATTTTGAGATATATAGTAGGAGCAGCATACCAAATATGGCAGCAGTATTCAATGCATACACAAATGGTAGATTTATAAATGTGCTAGTCTTCTGACAAGAAGAATTGTCTGGTGTGACACATTGAATTAATTTTCCTAGCAGTAAATCTAGCAATCAATCCAATATAATCACTCCACTTCATATCAGTGAAAAACATGAGCCCAAAAAATTGTAGAATTTTTCTCTTGAGTTTAGCATTAGCCATGCTGATGACAAGCAGGGAAGATTCTCTATGGTGATTCTCAACATGATATTGTGGTGTTTTCGATATTAACCTCTAGGAGTGTAACTCATTGTGCCTTCTTGGGCTAACGTTCTCAGCTGACATGAAGTAGAAAGACTATATTGAATCCTTTGCTAGTTCAGCTGCAAAGAAAGTTGTCATGCGAGACAATTTTTCTCTCCAGAATCTATCCTACATATCTATAAGTCTACCATTTGTCCATGCTTAGAATATTGCTGCCACATATGGTCTGGTGCTCCTGCTATTTTACCTTGAGCTCTTTAATAAGATCCAAAGAAGAATTGGCAATATTATTGGTCCTGATCTGGCAGCTAGGCATTAGTCACTTTCCTACTACTGCAAGGTTATCTATCTGTGCCTTTTCTATAAATACTTTCATGGTAATTCTTCAGATGAGCTCTTTGCTATTGTACCTAAACTTTTTGAATTTAAGTGCAGTACTAAATTGGCATCAAGATCTCATCAATTTACAGTTGAGCTGGCTAGATGTGGCCGTAAATTCTATGCTAACAGTTTCTTTTCTTGCTTATGGAACTCCCTTCTGGCTCCATGCTTTTCAGCCTTTAACCTGCAAAAATTTAAATGTCAATTGCTATCTACTCTTTTCTCTTCTCGTTCATTAATAATGTTTCTGTTCTTGATTCTTCCACACCCAGTAACCCCTTGTGTCTTGGTGACTTTACTATCTTGCTTGGGGTGAAACAGATTTAAAAATATATATATCAAATTTAGGATTTCTCTGCCTCATACAAAAGTCGGTGAATCCAACGCAGCATATGGTGATAATAATCGACAATAATAAAAAGAATAAATTTTGAAAAAAAAATTAACAATGAAAGCAGAATTACATTTAACTGTTGTTGTCCCCACCCCACTATTATATTAATGCTTTTTGTTATTATTTTTTTCCTTTCAGAATGGGAAGGAGGAGATGAGTGGGTCCGTGCTCAATTTAAAGAATACATTCTAGCATTGCTGTCAAGCGTTCATAAAGGAGGTAAGTTGACTTTATAAGCAGATAGAAATTGAAAATTCTTTGCAATCACTAATTCTCTCTTGTTTGTTCACTTCAGAATTCTTGTATACTGATTTCCGAAGTTTAGCTTAGATCTGGCACAATGCCAAAAGTTTAGAGCGCCCAGTGAGGATCGAACTCACTATTTGCAAGTCATAATTGATCTTGCGAGACAAGCTTGTCAACCATTGCACCACGTCGATGTGCCAAGATTTTTGTATATACAGAATCAAAGTTTTAGAATTGGCCTGCAAGCTGTAAATACTTTAGTTTTTCCATGGTCTCGTTGCATTACAATTTATTTTAGAAAGAGTGTAAGGCTTTAGATTCTAAATTCCAACCATATCTCATCCTATATGGAATATTTTTCTTAATTCATGAAGAAATAAATGAAATAAAGGTAATGGCTCCTTCCACTTTAACATTTGTTTGTCAACAATATTTTTTAGAGAGTTTCTTGTGTGTTTGTAGGATGTATAAGAGTATCCAAAACAAGAGTGAAGATGGACATGTGTTGGCTCTTTTTGGCTTCTTTGATTTAACTGAAAGAAAAATGAAACTGAAGAAAATGCCTTGGGATCTCTGAGGATAAGTGGGTATCATAAATCAAATTAACTACCTCAGCCTATCACCTCCTGATTTCCAGACTTGGAGAGAGTCTGTGTCTATGCTTGTTCGTTTCTATATCTGTATTAGAGCTGTTTGCTGTTGTAGAATTTTAAAATGGTTTTTTCTTTTGTTATACATATGTATAAGCTGAAGAAGGCAAAGAGCACATACACTTCTCAGATGAAAAGTGTCTTTAATAAAATTTTCTCTTGTAATGTGAACTTTTTAAACTCCTTGAAGGTATGTAGGGTTACATGTTAACTAGCATGGTTAAAATGGAATCCAGTTTTGTATTCTTCTGTGTCCAATTGGTACTAATGTCCTTTTGTTGTAAAAAAACTAGAATCATCAAGAAGTTCAACTGGATTGTTGAATTTCTTTGAGATCACTTCACACATAATATATATATATATATATATATATATATATATATATATATATATATATATAAAATATAAAAAGAAAGAACAGTAAGATATATAATCTGGTGTTCTTATAGATATTTTATTTTACAAAATAGTGCTCAATGTACATTTACAGAGCATTAATATTATAAATTAACTGATTTAAATATATGTTTTTTTTTATATATATACACAGTTCTAACCATGTTTCAAAAAATGGAAGCTAAAAGCTTAGAATTTAATTTTGTAATTAAATTAAAGACATTAGTTCCATTTCATCCTCAAGCAATTTTTGGAGTAACTTATTTTAAATTTACTGGGTTTTAAAGGCACAGCAAAAATCATAATTTACAGTTTCCAAGGATACAGCTTAAATCCATTCATTCAGACAAGGGGTGGTTATAAGTTCATTTTCATTAACTTTTTTGTATAACTAATAACTGATACAACAAAAGTTAATTTATAATATGTGTGTGTGAAGTGATCGCAAAAAAACTCAACAATCCAGTTGAACTTATAATATATATATATATATATATATATATATATATATATATGCACACACACACACACACACACACACACAATATATGTATATTTTTTTTTTTTTTTTTTTTTTTTTTAATCAATTCCCCTGAGGCAAGTTGATAATGCCACTAAGTTAGGGGGAGTGAAAGAGAATGAAAAGACTTTAGAAGGAACTAGAAACACAATGCTAAACAGGTGTTGAGGGGTAACAATCCCAATGTGAACGGGTGCCAACTTCAACTATATAACTTGTGTTTGTATCTTTTCTGTGTCACCTCTGAATGCGTATTTTGATTGCAGCTTTTCTAACATAGGGCGTCATGCTCCCCACGAACTTGCAAACTGATTATTCTTTTGCATTTTTCCAGCTGCTCTGGATCTTTGCATGTCAATCCATAATCAGCAAGATGTACTTACCGCCAAGGTAGATTTTGGTTTCCTGAAAGGTATAATCTTACTAATGGCTGTAATGCAAAAGGATGAAGGGAAGGTACATCCTGTGTTAGATTATTGAGAATTAATTGAGCATATTGACACCTACACAGCTTATGCTGAGGTGTGTGTGTGTGTGCGTGCATAGAAACAACCTCATAATGAAATTCAACAATCCAGTGGAACTTCTTGGTGATTTTGATTTTCTTCTTCATCGTTGCACCTTTGAAAAAAGACACAAACTCACTTCTTTCTCTGTTGCCAGATATCTTGATGAATACATACCATATTTTCTCAAATAATGCCCCCACTCCCCCACAAAAAAAAACATTAAAAAGTAATTTTAAAATACAATCCCAATGCTTGAATAAGCAATAATCAAGAGGAAAAGTCTGTGTGTGATTTTTTTTTTTTTTTTTTATTTAAAGTGAGTACCCACTTTCAAATGTGTATAAAATTTGTCTATATCAACTTACAGGTTTCATTTTGGCCTAATATTTAAAAAATAAAACTAACCACATTATCATATATGCTGCTACTAAACAGAAATGTTTTCATTTTGGTTTTGTCTATTTTCATTAACATCAATCTTAAGCTGTAAGTGTGTAGGAATCCTAATATATTTTGAAGGACTCCTATATCTTGGAGAAAAATGTTTTGCCACTCCTGTTTTGAAAATTGTTTCAATTTTTATAATCTGTAAGTGATAAACAGAATCATCACAAGTTATAATAAGTATATGCCCCACTTGCTTCACAAGCGAGTGATTTTCTTTTCAATAAGTGACCTGAATGTTTATTCAAGGAAATCTGACATTTCCTTATTGACATGTCATGATGGTAGATAGAGAAGAGTGGGTGAGTAAAAATAATTGGCCAAACCCTTCAACTATTATTACAATTTGTAGTAACAGTAAAAACTACAACTTAAAACATACATGTCTAGTAATCATATCCACACAAACCTGTATATGCACAAAAGCTGAGTATCATCTATCATGTATTCAATTGTGAAAACAGAATAACATATATCAGCTTTTTATTATTCAAAGCTCCCAAGAAAATTAAATTTTTGCATTAAATGACCCATAAGAAGTTGATATGCCACAGAACAATCAATCATTTATTTCTTAAATGTCTGACCCCTACTGAAAAACCTGAGTTTGAAAATGGTCTGTTTTACAGTTTTTCCTGAGCCATGCTAAAAATATGAGAACCAAATTTGAATTCTAGTTTAGTTCATTACATTCAGTTACACACAAATACCCTTGGTAAAAGTATGAATCCATCTCTTCCCTAGCTATGGGTTAAACAGCAGGGCAGACTGGGTTCTTTAGACTTGGTTGGCAACTAGTCTATTGCAGAAAGAAATGGAAACCTACTTTGCGGATAATCTTCTGTCTAGTCAGTCATGGAGTGAGATATGATCATCCAAGCATGTATTGCGTATGGCACTTAACTGACTGGCTGATCTGTCACTCAGTGAATGGTTAATTTCTACAAGGGGAAATCAGTTGAGTGAGTTGGGAAGCTTCCCTGGACCAGAATAATTGTTGGTTAAAAAGAGTTTTTATTTTTCCTTCCAGTCTAATGCTACAACATTTTTATTCATTTGTCAGGCAAAATTAGAGGATTTAGTTAATGTACAGAGGACACATGGCCAGTTGAGTGATCTGAAAAGTTCTTTTGAATGAAATGTTTGAAGTAGGCTTTATCAGGCTTCTTTAAAATTGTAAAAAAAAAAATGAATGCAAAAATTTTTGTACCTTTCTTGTTATAAATTCATTTTTTTTTTCTCTTTAACTGATTTCTTGTTTTTATGTCTTCTTTCTTTCTTCTTTTTATCTTGGCTTCTGAAAAGATCCGTCTATTGACATATCTTGTTGCTCTTATAACCATCAGTGAAGTGTTTAAGGTTAATGAACATTTTACTTTATTTTGAGTTTTGGCTTTGAGAACAAAAATATTGAAATCTGGTGTGAATGAATTTCTTTCCAGATGAAAAATGTCAAGATGACTTCAACCCCTGTTTTATCCAAGCCTGGAAGACAACCCACAATTATCGTCTGTGGCAGAGCAACAATCATCCAAACATTGAGGAAATTTCTCCAATGTGAGTACTTTATGCTAAATTTTGTTCATTTTGTTTCTTCTTTTATAACATATACCAGAATAAGAGGTGCTTGGTTTGATCCACTTCTCCAAATATGATATTTTTTTTTTTTTTGAAAGGGGTGCCTTGGTCAGGCCGAGAACTTTGTATATTCTCATCTTAGCTACATTTTTTTAGATCAGCTCTACCTTAAATCCCAAATTTAAGAAGCCATACAACACTGATTTCTTTGTAAAACTTGTTGAAGCTCTTTGTAGTTTGTCTGCCAAATTCTTTTCATAGTAAAAAGACAGATGATAAAAATTTCCAATAATCCCACTAATCTCTTGAAATCTGACAAATTATAATTTTCAGTGGTGTAAAGATATAACCAACAAAACCCAATCAGGTTATGAACATATTTTATTCGTAAGCGGCAAACAGAAGATGGAAAATGTACAACTAACTCTGTGATTTTGGTCAGATGTGGTGGTATCTTTTTAAGTATCCCATTTTTATGAGACCTTCTGATGCCTTTTCCCTCCTGTGACTACAGGATCTGTTAGTTTTCACTTGCTGGGATGGCCTTGAGTAATTATGTGATGGTTCTTGCATCTCTGGAGACAATGTTTTTGGTGGTTGTGATATCCTGTTTACAGTGCCATGTAAAATATAACCAATGAAACTCAGTTGGGTTATGAACATATTTTATTTGTAATTGTCAAATAGAAGAAAGAAAATGTACAACTAACTCGGTGCTTTGATGGTTGTTTTTTATATTGTTCATGTTGTAATTGGTGGTTCTGGTTGGATGCAGTGATATCCTTTTAGGTATCTCGTTTTTATAATGAGACCTTCTTGTCTACTCTACAAGTGGAAACTGAGTGATAAAATTTACATGCAATAGCTTAATAAGAGATTAACTGAAATAATCTGAGTTACATTGTTTCCCTTGTCAATATTTTTATTACAAACAGGCTTTCTTAAGATGATATTGAAGTGTTTTAAGTAACGTTGAGTAATACAGAAAGGAAAAGTTTAATGCTAAATGATTCATTTGTGAGTTGCCAAGATAAAAAAAAAAGCAAACATTTTTATTGTGTTTTTAACTGTTTTTCTTTTGTTTGTCATTTTTCTAATTGCTATTTTGTTTTTCTCTTCAATTAACCTTTGTCTGTGTATTTTACAGTCACCCTTTCCAAGGACAACTAAACATGAATGACCTCAAGGTGCGCTTGTCACAGTAAGTGTCCAGTATATTGTTACATTTTGATCAAATATTTATTGCTTGACTTTCAAATTTGAATTCTCTCGATATTTTTTTTTTTAAGTCCATCTTTTTGGAGGGTTACAGGTGTGTATGCTTTCCTTACCCCCCACTTGTTTTTTTTTTTTTTTTTTTTTTTTTTTTTTTGACAGTTATCATACTCTCTAGTTTCATTGAAGTCAAGAATTTTGAAGAGAAAAATATAATTTGCTTATTATTAAAAGAAAGATTGCATGTTTTCATATCATTTCCCTCTTTTTAAACACCTCTTAATCTCCTCCTTCATAATGTTCTACATTCATCCCTCTCCCTTTTTCCGGTTTCTTCATTTCCTTCTTCTGTCCAGTGCATCCCATTTTTCAGCCCCCCCCTATTCTATCCAATTTACTATTCGTTTTTCTTTTTCTCTTTCCCCACCCCACACAATTTACTAAGCTTAATATAGCATTGATGTGTTGTGCAATGATCATCAATGTTAAAAGTGGAACCAGCAAGCCTTGTTTAAATTCCAGACTCTTGTTGCATTCACTTTCACACTAATGCCATTGGGAAGAGCATGAATCTGACTCTTCTCCCCACGGTTATGCGTTAAATGGTAGGGTAGACTAGGCTGCCATCCAGTCTAAAAGAAGGAAAACTGAATTCCAAACAGTAAAAAGCAGTTTGAAACCGGTATCATTCCCAAGAATTCATAGCAATTCACAGAAAAAGACTCTGTGGAGAACCATGATCACTTAAATCCTGAAAGGATGTGGCATTAAAAAGAAAATTTTGGCACTAGTGATCACCTAAATTTTGAAAGAACGTGATCTTAAAAAAGAATTCTGGCACTAGTAATTACCGACATCTATAAAGGATGAAACCTTAAAAATTTTTTTTTTAAATTCTGGCACCAGGTCAGAACAATTGGATTCCAATACAAATCCGACTTAGTCATACTAGCAAATTAGTCTCCAAGATGAGTTTGGTAGAGGCGGCCTGTTTGATTTAATTAGTTGTTGTCAGTTGAGTCCTAAATACGAAACCCTTTATTGACTGTATTTTCCAGCACAATGCAGAGCACAGAGAAGGGCAAGAAGATTAATGCTGCCGTGTCACAAACTGGTAAATACATGCTACAAACAGGCAAAGCAGTTGGTAAGTCGATCCAATTACATTTTATTGCTTTTCAAATGTTTGTTCTCTTTAGGATTTTAAGTTGCTGTGAGGAAAACATTTGCAGTGACAACTCCAAGCAGTTCTCAGTTAGACTTTGAACAGAGAAAACTTTTTGAGCAAAACCATCAAGAAGAATTAACCTTTAACATTCTGATTTTGTTTGCAATGCACAAATTTTATCCTGCCACTGTAAATTACTCGGATGAATGAATGAAGGATAGCATATTTGAACTTTGAGGTTGTGTTGTCATATCCTGCTATGGCAACAAAAAATGACCATGACTGAAATTAAGTAGTGCAGTAGAGGCGCCTTGAAAAACAATGCAGTGGAAAGGAAAGTAGAAAATAACGCAGTGTATTAAAGATTTTTAAACAATGACTGAGAAATAACAGATGTCTATAGACACCGGAAAAGTAAAGTAAAAACATTTACTGTGTTTATTATGATAGAAATAAAACATTATATATATGCTAGCAGAAGTACTATACTACATTTCCATGTGGCTACGACTGAGATTGATGCACTTATCCTATCAAACACATGTTTTATGAATGACACGTTGTCTACTGTGTGTATGGCAGGGCTGGAATTGTAAGATAGAATAACAGTTTTCAGTTAGGAAAAAAAGAATTGATGAACTGAGCTTGAATTATTTTGGCCAAGTCTGCTTGTGTTCACTTTGGCCCTTGGCAAAGGCAGAAAAACACTATTCCCTGAGATCTGGCAAGTTACCTAATAATTAGTCAATCAAATGCACAAATTCTAAATGCACTGCTTTAGAATTCTTTTTTTAAAGTCATTTCACCCCAAGCAAGGCAATAAAATGACAAAGATGCACGGAGTTACAGTGTTAAAGAATATGAGAAAAATATACTATTAATGAGAGTGGACAATAAAAGAACAAGAATTAAGCAGAAGATAACAATTGACATTGCATTTAAATTTTTGAAGTTGACTGGGAAGCAAGAAACCAGAAGAGAGTTCCACAAGTGAGACTGTTAGCCTAGAACTTATGGTTACATCTAGCCATTTCAAATGTAAAATGATGAGACCTTGCAGCCAATCTAGTACTGCACTGAAATTCATGAGGTCTCAGTACCATAGAGGCAAGTTCATCAGAAAAATTACCATGTCAGTATTTATAGAAATGGCACAGGGAAATTACATTATGATGGTTGGAAAGTGACTGAAGCAGAGATGTCATGTCAGAACCAGTAACAATGCAGATTCTTGTTTGGATTTTATGAAGAATCTCTAGATACATAGCAGGAGCACCAGATAAGATGTGGCTGCAATATTCAAACATTTCAATTGATTCGACATAATCTTAGGTTTTAAACTGTTGTTCACTCGATGACTTATAAACTGCTTGTTTTAACGAGTAAGTTTATAAGCCAAGAAAATAAGCTAAATACACCCCCTCACACACACACACACACACACACACACATACATGCATTGGTTTGGCTTCATGAGCTAAAACTGGTTACAGTCCTTTGGGAAGTTAATGAGGCTGATACTGTTTAATGTTAACTTTATGTGGCCATAATGGAAACAGTAGGGACAAACCTAGGTAACTGACTTATATGTCAGTTTTGTTTGCCATTTACAGTTCTGTGTGTGTGTGCGCGCGCGCATATGTGCACATTGTTGCAGGTATCACCTCCTCTTTGGTTGTGATGTGTATAGACATTATATAGTAAATATTTATCAGCTCCTGGAATATTTGTCCTGTAAACATTATTTGCAGACTCATTTGAGTCTGGGTAAAAGTAAAAAACAAAACAATGAATTTAAAACAAACGATAATTATATGCATGTACTAGCAGCATGGCCCAGTGTTGCCTATGCTTGATTCAAAAAACGTACAACTCATACAGCAATCGCTATCACTTAAAATATTTTTGCCCTTCCTTGCCTTTAAAGGAGTGCCATTTGCCGTGCTGATGTTGCTACATGCCTTACTTCTTGCCTATCTCACACTGCGAATTTTTTCTAAGCTCTATACTAAACATTAAATCTGTTACGAAAAAAAGAACTAAACAAAATGAACACAAAACAATCAGCTTTAAAAAAAGGACTCGTAACTGGAAAAACCAAATGAAAAAAGAATGTTAACAACAAATAATTTTTCACACCCAACCCAGTTCTGCAGAATCAGAATCAACATTGAGTTTAAGCAAGTGAATGAGCCAATTGGAGTAAAGTGCCATGCAGATTTAAATTTTTCCCACTTGTGACGAATGCAGCTATTTTTTTTTTTTTTTTTTTTTTTTTTTTTGCATGCTAGTTAACATTCGTGTCAATCAGCTGTTGGCCAATTTAATCTTCCTGCCTATTCATGGCAGCCAGCTATAGGCTCTCACTCTGGCCAGTACAAAATGGCCACAAACTACATGAAAACTGTGAGTAGGAGCATGAAAAACATCGATTATTTCCACTATCGATGGGAGTTGGGAAATGCAAGGTCGGTCTTGGTCTTCCTGCTAACTTGGAGCATGTGCATGTAAATTTTGGTGCAAATCCGTCGAAAATTGCAGCCGTGCATTCGTTCGGTATTTATCATTTCACCCACGAGAAACGAATATGGCACAAGGCGGTTTTATTGTGGGTTTCTCCGAGCCCGTAGGCTCTCGCCAAAAAATAGCCTTTTTGAAGCCGATTAGACGGGTTCAGGCCCTGTCTACCTCCCCGATTTAAACCGCCCTTAACTTCGCAAAGCCTCGTCCGGGTTCCTCTCTACTATCATTTAGAGTTCGACAGAAGTCTGCAGTCAGAGACCGCTCAACACCAGCCGTGCATTCGTTACACACACACACACACACACACACACATCCTGCCTTTTATAGATAGAGATTAACAAAAGTAATTGTATGTGTACACAAGTGAAATGAAAGGAAAAAAATGTTGAAACTCGCTATGATAATGTGTGTGAATGAGAGAGTTCAAAAGTCAACAGAGGACCTATGAAGCGAACATACCTCGTCGGCATTGTTCTTTATCTATGTTTGAATACATCTGGAAGCAAGAGTTAAAAAGAGAATATAATTGTCCTTTTATAGATTTCAAGAGTGTATCCTAACAAGTGTTTTTAGCAAAGCCAATTAGGGTAATCCATAACATAAAATAATATCTACCTGTGTGTATCAGCCCCACCCTTTCCCTGTTGCAATGTAGTTGTTTTATTTTCTTTTCCTTTGAATTGCAGGAGGTGCACTCACCTCAGCCAAGAGTGCCATGAGTTCCTGGCTGAGCAGTTTTACTACAGACTGGAAGCTGGCCGATAAAGAGTCTGCTGTTACTGCTGTAACAAACTCACCCGAGTGATCATCCTCATCTCTTCAGCCTTTGTGATAGACCCACACAACATCATAGCAAATATTAATGATGCCGGGGAGGGGTGACGAAAAAAAAAAATGACAAATCGTTTTTGTTAAAAAAAAAAATTTTAAAGGAGATAAACAACAAAAAAAAAAAAAAAACTAATTCAAGCAAACTTCAGACAGGATCTAAGATCAGCTGATCACCTGTTGGATTTTGATTGGCTTTTTGCTGCTGATTATCACCCCACCCACAGTTATAAATATACATACTGAAAGACATTTTTTTTTTCTTTCCATGACCTGAAAGGTTTCTATGTCTTTCCTCATTAAATGTTAAATATTTTTCACAGATACCTACTTATGAGGAATACGTCATCTATAGTTTTAATTAAAAATAAAAAAAAAAATATTGAGTGTGCATATTTATTTATTTATTTATTTTTTTTTTATAACTACTGACTCTAAAATATCAAACACCTGATTTGATTATTTGAAATCTTAATATCAGGCTTCCATGTTTGAATCGGGGAGCAGGGAGTTTCTGTTACTGGATGGGAACACATATATTGAACTTCTTTGTATGCACTGATCCTGGGGTCATATACATTTTTCTTCCCCAACTCCCATACACACATATTCAAGCTAATAATGTAATTCCATGTTTTATCTGTAGCTTATTGAATGTTTGTATTTCTTGGATAAAAGACTGTGTGTGTGTGTGTGAAAAATTGTTCTGCTATAAAGTTTTCATAAATGGTCCATTTTTCGTCTGCAGGTCAAAGTTTATTATCTTGCTTGTTGACAGCTTTCAAAGACTTTAAAAAGTGAAAAGCTTGAATCAGTATTTTTCAAAGCCTCCTCTCCTCCTGGAATCAGTTGTACATGCAAAAAAAACCATTTTATATATATATATATATATATATATATATATATATATATATATATATATAAAATATAGTTTTATGGTATGCTATATTTATGGGTAAAAGTGGTCAGTATCAGGGATAGAGCATATGTAAATATAAAAGTGGACACTGAGGTCAACACAAAGTGGTGACAGTCTGTTTCATGCTTGAATGCAATCTTCAGGCCATTATATGTAAGTATCAGTAAAGTTAGTAAAATTTCGATTGACTTGTATCGCTACAGACTACAAAGTTTCATACAGCACCATTCATCAGTGACAGAGGATCTCATAAATCTGTTGAATATATAATTCTTAATTTTTCAATCAATCTTGTCCCGATGAGTGATTGAAAATTATGAAAGTTAACCATCAATAAGTGTTGAGCAAACATTTTTACTTCTTCTTTATATATATATATATAGGCAAAACAGGGATGCTATAAAGACTGTAAAATATAAAAATAGAGCCAATGTAGAATATAAGTAAACCAATGCTTATATGTTACTCATACTGTGACTAAAAATTTCATAGGGACACTTAGATGTAGATATTGTTGTCTCACAATCTTCAGGCAGTAAGAATAAGGAGACACTCAGTTCTTTATTTTTAAGGAAGTGAGTATTTCATCACTTACTGCCTGAGGATTGTGAGACAGTGGCATCTACATCTAAGTGTTGACATGAAATTTTTAGTCGCAGAAAGCAGTAACAAATGATGAGTATTGTTTTACTTATATGTAGCATGTTATCAATTTTAAGCAACATGCCACCTACAGAAACGGTGTTATATTTTATATTCAAATATTAAAAAAACACAAAAGTTCAGAGACTGATGACCTTAATGGCAGATACATGTATTATGTAATGTTTGACAAAGTTGAATTTTAAAGATGACATTTAACATGTCAACAGGTTTGAATTGTTGTAGCAGAGCAGAATGATTCACCCCCCTTTTTTTTTCAAAATTTTTTTTTTATACATAATAACTTCAATTTATTTTTTGTTTTATTTTATCTAAAATAATTTATTGAAGGTATGTTACTGTTTTAATGAAATATATTTTTAAAAAAAATAGTTTTTTTTCTTTTGCAACCATTTTCATTCAGATGAAATTCTATTTTAAAAAAATCCAAATTCTTTTCTTGGCTATTTTTTTTTTTTTTTTTTTTTTTTTTTTTTTTGATAAATAATAATTTAAAATGCTAAGAAAAGATGCTGATTACTTTGTCCATCAGATGGGTCTAGTTCATAATAATGTCTGAAAAAAGTTTCATCAAATGATTCACTTCACTTCAAAATATTCAATTGTAGAAAATTCAAGGTTATATTTATATCTGAATGTTGTTTTCTTAAATTATGTCTCATTTAAGAATTAAACTTATTAACTTGATTGTTGCTTATTTGTGATAATGAAGTCAGTTGGTTTAAGAGGGCTATTTAATGTGGAAATTAATTATAGCCAGGAAATTTATGGTCTATCAAAAAAATATTAAAAATATTAAAATAAATAAATAAAAAGAGTAATATGAATTAATACAGAAGATTTTAAAAAATATTTACTTTATTTAAACATGCATTTTGGATAGGGTAAATATTTAAATTGTTTTTCATTTTTTACTCATTTGTAAATATTCCCAGAAAAAAAAAATTACACAACATCATGTGAATGTAGACTTCTGTGGTGAATTTATGGATAAAAAGGTATTCATTATTGTAAATATTCAGCAAAATTTTTAAATGATACATAATTTTAAAAAGCATTATTCAGATATAAAAGTTATCTCCTTTTAATTTTCGGACTTCTGCTTTTTCAGTCATATGACCTATTGATAGAAGTTAAGATTTAATATAATGGTTTCAGGGAAATCTGTTTTCGGACAAATGACATTCACTGTTATGATGACCTTCCATCAGACAAGCTTTTTGCTTAAAGGTAACTCTGAAAAGTGATTCGAGGGAATTGATACTTAATTGACAAGATGACTTGTGGGAGATTTTTCTTAATTATTCCTAGGGTGGTGTGAATAAATATTGAAATGTTAAAATCAATAACAGCAGAATATTATCTACAATCTTCGTTGGTAATTATTTACCCAAAATACACAAACACATGCAGTGCTTCCATAAAGTTCAAGAAACTTAAACAATGTACAGAAGAATCTGCTCCTTTTCTGAGCCAGTATACCAAAAAATAAAAGAAGCAAAAGAGACAATGTGTTAAGACAGTTTCACCTACCTTCCACCAAGGTCAAAGTGCATGGGCATTTAGGGTGCACCTTATATAGTTTTAAGGTATGCTATATTTATTGGATAAAAAGTGTTAAACATCCATGATAGAACAAGTGTAAATATAAGAAGTGTGGGCACTGATGACACTGCTGAGTGGCGACAATCTTTTATGCAATCTTCAAGTATGTATGTATGTATGTATGTATATATATATATGTGTGTATATATATATATATATATATATATATATATTTTTTATTTTATCAGTAAATCACCTAGGTAGAAAAATATACTTGAGAATGAAAAAGTGCTGAATGCTTCATAGCAAATATTAATTGTAACAAAGTCTACTGCCAGAGGATTGTGTATCATTGTACACATGAAACTTTATGTAATTTTGAGTTGTTGTTGAAAAGTTCTTGAACTAATCTAACTAAACATTGGAATTTTATTTTAGTTTTTCAATTCTTTCTTGACCGAGATGAAACCTTTTTAGCACCATTATGTGTATGCGCACACACACATATATATATATATATGTGTGTGCGTGAGAGAGAAAGATAGGGTGATTGAAAAGTAACTCTGTATTTTAAAATACTTATAATTTATTTTTTATAACTATAATTTTTAAAAGAAATAGATATGAGAGGAAAGCATTTAGCATGAAGTTTTATTTAAAATTCAATATGGGCACCAGATTTCACTACCACCTTCTCAAGACACCCAGGAAATTGTGTCATGATTTCACCAGGAACCCTTGTGGTATAGAAGACATGTATTCACCCTTCATCTTCTTCCAAAGTCTTGGTTTGGTATAGTAGACTTACTTCCAATCTCAATTCCTTGGAAGAATTTGACTCTTTAGCTTCCAATCTCAATTCCTCACAGTTAACTCCTACATCCCCACTTCTTCTAATTTTACACACATGAACTTCATTTCATTCCCTACTGGGGTTGAAAAGACAGACGACCACTTTCGTCATCTGCTGAAATAGCCTATTCCTCCCTATGAGGTAAAAGAATTTGTTTGGTTATTAATTATATTGCTCGGTATAAATTAAATAAAATACATCTAGTTCTTTTTTGTGGATCAGTTCTAACATTTTCATATTACTAGGATCCACTTGAATTATATACCTACAGATTTTTTTTACCTTACTATATATATATATATATATATATATATATATATATATATTTATTCTGATTGGCAAATGCAAGTCTCGTTGCCATTATAAAAAAAAAAAGATCTACCTTCTCATTATTAATACATTTTCTGTTATTAAAATCACATCGTGAAGCGAATTATGCAGAGAGGCGGCCTGTTAACAGGTCGGGGTACCTGGCAGAATGGATCTGATGTTGCAATACCCAAAATTCGTAATGAAGCCAGTGATGACCTCATACCATTTCATTTTATAAATTTATTTTAAGAATATATATAGTTTTTCAAATATCTGAGTTAGTTGTTTTATGTTTATTTTTATTTTATATTATTCCCCCCCACCACCAAGTACTATCAAATGTTGATACATTAGTTTTCAAGACAGGACACTCTTTGAAAACGAACATAGCAACATTCAAAAGTACTCAGGCAAGGGGGAATAATATCAAAAATATATAAACACAATAAACCCGGAAATAACTGACCTTGCTATTCACAATGCCCCACTGACCAGCATATATAGTCAAGCTACTACCCAACACACATGACCTGAAGACTCTATTCAAGCTTGAAACAGACTGTTGCCACTCAGAGCACTTTTACCCAAAAATATAGAATATCTTAAGACTATATTTTATCATATATATCTTGTAAATTAAGTATACTCAGAAGCAGAATTGAGAATGAAATAATTCTTGGCTCAA